GTTGATGACCGAACCTGAAATGCGTTCAGATCATTATGTGGAGAGAGTAGAGCCATTCACCAAACCTTTGGAACCGCAGGTAGCCATGATCAAAGGCGCGTTTTGACGACTAAGCTCCTTCATGCATATCTGACCGACCTCTTCTCGAACCTTAGACAAGACCGAAGAGATCAAAGCTTCCAGGGTCTGCTCTTGATCACAACCAGGCTTGTTCTCGAGTTTTCCCTTCTTCGCCCGCGCGATAAGGTCTTGGCAGTCTGCGTATGCTTTCTCGACAAGGAAGTCTTTCTGACGGTTAAGCTCGGGACCGGGAATAACGTCGTTGATGCCCAGTGAGAAACCATAGTTGGCTAGCAATTCATTAGATGCGAGGTCACAAAAGAAAATTAGCCGACACCTACCAAGATATCGAGCACAGAGCTTCGCGAGGCGGTTCATAGCAGCAGCGGCTTCGTTGGGGCCGTAGTCACGCATAATGACGCCGAATATCGACTTCTTTTTCCCGCTTCCAACCGTCGCCTTGTCCATCACACCACACATAATCTCACTGTTGATAATTACAAGCCACCCATCGTTGGGCGAAAGGTCGGGCTGAGGATCCATTGTATAGTTCGCCGCTTTAGCTTCTTCCCACTTGTGGCACTTGGACTCGACGTTGACAAAGATTTTCGACTTTTTGTTTGGTCGCATGAGGACGTTAAACACCTGCTTTCCAGTCCATAGTCGCTCTGGTTTCCAGATGGTGGGGGGTGGTATGTCAATTTGCATATTTGCGTCGCCGAAGTAACAGCATATTTGGGTGAATTGGCGTCTGTCAAGGAAGCGATCTTTGCGTGAAAGGAGGAAAGAGGCGGTGATAAAATCTTGAATGGCAGCGATGACGGGCTCTCCGTTACGAGGGGTTACTAGATTGTGTTTGACGCTCATGAGTTCAAGGGCCTCCGTTCGGGCTTCTTCCGTCTGTGGTACATCTAAACAGAAAGGTGATTAAACACGTTTAATATCGAAAAGCCGCGTCCTTACGCAAATTCATCTCATCTCCATCAAAATCTGCGTTATACGGCCCACAGACACACTCGTTCAATCGGAATGACCGCCATGGTCTGACTTTCGCCTGAACGGAAATGGTAAGTATAGCGCCACTCACAAAAAAAAATCAACACGCACTCGATGACACATGATTGAAAGCTGTGACCTCAATCAGCACCCGCAGAAGCATCATAGACCAATACACACCTTGTGCAAACTCGGTTGTCGATTGAACAAAACGACATCACCGTCGATTACGTGTCTCTCAACGATATCGCCCACAGCCAGCCCGTCAGCGATAGCATTTCGATTTCCAAACTTCAAGAACTTCTTGTTCTCCCCTCGCGCCACAAAATTCGCTCCAGGATGCACTTCGGTGCCATTTCGGATCGCCTGCTTTAGCTTTTCCATATTGTGCGGGGTTACACGCTCGGGATAGGTGAGGACCTTGGCCACTCGCTCTGGCACAGCGACCTCGTCGATGCGCAAATTGGGGTCGGGCGAAATGACAGTACGGCCAGAGAAGTCCACACGTTTTCCAGACAAGTTTCCTCGGAAACGACCCTGTTTTCCCTTCAGACGCTGGACGAAGCCACGTATTGGCTTTTGGCCTGGTTGTGATGGGACACCAGGCAGTTCAGAATTGACGTACATCGCGACAGACAACTGGAGAAACTCCCATTGTTCCTACGTCGAAGTGAGTTATGTCAAGAGATGATAAAAGGTATGTAGGGGACCAACCATGAACTGGGGAGTGGGAGACCCCTTGGCCAGCCCTTGTTTGATCAATGCGTTTGTAAAGACGATCTCTGTCAGCTTGACGGTGAGATCGTCTTCGTTTGATGCACCGTCTTGGGCTACAGAAGGGCGAATGCAGACTGGGGGTACGGATATGTACTGCCATATAAATTCTTCTGGTCGGCCAAAGCTAGGGTGTAATCCTAGCAACTCGCAGTCCTAAAATGATTGAGAAATGAAAGGAGATCAAAACAAACAACTTACTTCGTCTGATATCCTCCGGAACAGGTCCAGCACTTTAAGGGGATTCAAGTCTTCGTGGACAGCTTTGTTGATATAAATAGCGAGTTCCTTCTGTGCTTCCACCGCGGGCGCAAAAGTTTTTTTCCACTTCTCCATCTCTTCAGCGGTCTTCTTCGCACGAAACTTGTCGTGGATGATTTTGAGTGCGCCAGCCTTCTTCACGGCACCATTAGTGGCAGAGCAATATGGGCAGTAGACGCATTTTCGGGCCATCGTGTTCACAGCCTTGATCAGAGACTGTCGTTGCATATTTTCGAGGTTGGGACGTCGGAAGCGTTTGATGAATACGCGACGGTCAGGTTCCTCCAGGAGGACGCGTGCGCATGTCTGTCGGGAATTGGGAAAGGTTGAGGATATCTTGACGGGTCAACTCACTTTACATATGGCTTGTAGGATGCCAATTGTGTGTTTGAAGTATCCTATGTGGAATACAGGTACAACCAACTTGATGTACGCATAATGCCCGACGCAATTAATGGAAGATTGTCCACAGGTCTCACAGAACGCGTTCTTGTCGGTCGTTCCCTGCAGTATATGGTGAGGGCTTTGCCTTTTGGCCACGCAGGATTTGACGCACTAGTCGACGGTCAAGAACTCCGTCTTTGACTGGCAGACGGTCTGTTGCAGTGTATAGATCTCGATGGGTAACTTCGAATTCGGAGATCTTTACGGTGTCCTGCGCATTTAACAGACTGAACTGTAGTTTCTTGCTGAAGTAAGCTCCATAAGCACCAGAAAATTTCGAAAGCCAATTGGATACATACATGACCTTCGGTGCCTGATGTGATACTGCTTCCTTCATCTTGAACCTACGCCGTTCAGAAGAATAACGCTGACTCGATCGTCGCGTAAAGATTGCCCGCAGTGCCCCAAGGCTTTTATTTACTAATTATCTGGCCAAATCGTGAAAGTTCGTAGCCCGGAGAGAAGTCGTCCAGACGGCGTTTAAGGAGTCAGTAGTCGATACTGTAAGTACGGGCAGAATCTGAATTCAGAAATTATTGGTCCGTGACGTGACCGTGACACGATCGCGTGACGACTTGCGCGTCCTCGCTGCAGGTCTTGTCAAGTCCTCGTCTCCTCCACCATGTCAAGAACATCCTACGACAGGTTTGTCCCTCAGTTGGCCTCTCTGCGTATACTGATCACCAGAAATACAGATATCTCACTGTATTCTCTCCCGAGGGTCGACTCTATCAAGTCGGTGGGTACTCATTCTGGTCATTTGGTATCTTGGGGCTTATATATCGTCTGATCTGCTAGAATATGCCTTCAAGGCAATCTCAGGATCGGGGCACACGGCAGTATCTGTCCGTGGAAAGGATACGTCCGTCGTAATAACACAACGGAAGGTCCCTGTGCGTCTTGGGATCCTCTCACATGTCGTTCACCTCTGACTGACCTGCGGACAAAGGACAAGCTTCTTGACGCGTCGACCATCACCCACCTGTTCAGCATTACACCTACCATTGGATGTGTGATGATTGGTCTCGTTGGTACATCTAATCATATGCCCTTCCTTGCTCCTTGGACTCACTTCCCCGTTCCATAGCCGATGCTCGTGCCCAGGTCACCCGTGCGCGCTCAGAGGCGGCTGAGTTCCGATACAAATATGGTTACGAAATTACCCCCGACGCCCTCGCTCAGCGCCTAGCCAACATCAACCAAGTGTACACGCAACGTGCTGCAATGCGGCCGCTAGGCATAGGTACGTCATCTATACATTGGTTGTGCACCTCTTCCTCATCCCCCATGCTCCAGCAATGATCCTCATCGGCATCGATCCCGAGCTTGGCCCTCAGGTATTCAAGCTCGATCCTGCCGGGTACTTTGTCGGCTTCCACGCCACAGCTGCTGGGCAGAAACAGCAAGAAGCGATGAACCACCTCGAGAAGAAGTGGAAGAAGCTTGATTCGGGACGGGGTGCGGATGATGCAGTCAAGGCCGGGAAGACTCTGAGTCGGAACGAGGTCATCGAGGTGCGTACTCCAGTATAAATATCTCTGCCCATGTCACTCAACTCTTCCCAGATGGCGATCGAGGCTATGTCAACCGTGCATGCGACTGACTACAAACCGGGTGAAATCGAAATCGGGATCACCTCAACCAGCTCAGACGAAGACGAGAAGACACGGGGGTCATGGCGCGTTATGGGCGAGGCCGAGATTGAGCATCATCTGCTGGCATACGCCGAGAAGGACTAGCAATATACCGCTTTTCTTCTGACCGTTTCCCTCGCTCTGAAGTGCCGAATTGAAGTTTGGCATACTTTGTATGAATATTGAGATAAATAGATCTACGATTATAAGTCTGGTCCAAGTCGATTAGTGTAGGGATGCCCCGCCGCTCTAGTAACTCCATGAGTGATCCATTTCGACGGGTACAATGCCAAAGTACTCACCAGTATAGCATCAATCTCTGCCTCCTCAATCTCCTGCTTCCAGAGTCGTTCTGGTGCCTCCCAGAACTCGCTCAGGACGCCTTTCGACGCAAGCGTAGTAGACGTCTTTTCTCCTGAGACTTCGAACTTTCTCACAAACTCTGCGAATCGGCTCTTGAGCTCAGCGGGGGCCGCCGGGTGGGCTTGCGGTGGGCTTGGTGCTGGAAGGGGCTTATGAAAGGCTGGCTGGTAATCTAGTGGCAGGGCCACTTACTGCTGGGATATGTGCGCTTTCCCAAGAATCTGATGAGTGGCTTGTGCGCGCGAGAGGATAAAACGCGCAGGGATGGGTGCATGGTGCGAAGGATACGGAAGCTAAAGGCTAAGCCCGGAAACCGAAGCCTGTTGTTTACCGGTATTATTTGGCCAAAAGTAACAGACCATGGCTCAACCCTCTTCGACTAGTTGCGCCGCCATTGGTTCTGTTGTGGCGCTTTCTCTTCGCCATTTCCTGCGCTCTTCTGTCCGCAGGAGAAAAACAAAAGGTTTCTGACAACTGTGAGATTCGAACTCACGCCCCGAAAGACTAGATGGATGAACCAAATCACCTGATTCTAGCGCCTTAGACCGCTCGGCCAAGTTGCCTTGTGGTTATGAAGGTGTTGGTTAAATTCAAGGAGTATTTGGGCTTGATATGTTTTCGTCTCTCCGAGTCTTGTCAGACTTGGCCTCAGAGAAACCTCAACATCATATGGCATGCCCCAATTCCTTCAAAGGGACTATGTTTTACTTCCGACAAAAAAGGGGGGGATGGAAAAGTT